TCTCTACTAAAAAATACAAAAAACTAGCCGGGCGAGGTGGCGGGTGCCTGTAGTCCCAGCTACTCGGGAGGCTGAGGCAGGAGAATGGCGTGAACCCGGGAGGCGGAGCTTGCAGTGAGCTGAGATCCGGCCACAGCACTCCAGCCTGGGTGACAGAGCCAGACTCCGTCTCAAAAAAAAAAAAAAAAAAAAAAAAAAAGAAGGTTGTCAGCTTTGTTGAATCCTGCTAAGAGGTCAGATAAATGGGGAAGTAGTAGACCTTGATAAATCGATTTAATGGAGTGGAGGGCTTGGAAACTTTGTTTTGAGTAGACTGAAGAATATGAGAGGTGAAAAAATTGAGACAGGTACAGCCAACAACTTTTTCAAGACAATTTACCCTGAAGTGGTGAGCAGGGAAATAGCAGGTAGCTGGAGGGAGATGAGGGGTCAAAGGAGAACTTTAAAAAGTTAGGGTTCATTTAATCATTTACTTATTATAGGACATTAGATTTAGTGGTAAGAAGATACTGTCTGAATGCTTCTCATTTAAAATTACATACTTAGATAGAAAATTAGCTAAGAGGTTGTGTGTAGTGGCAGAAAATTAGCTAAGAGGTTGTGTATAGTGGCTCATGGCTGTAATCCCAGCATTTTGGGAGGTTGGGGCAGGAGGATTGCTTGAACCCAGGAGTTCAAGACTAGTCTGGGCAACATAGTGAGACCCGCCCCTTCTCTAATTTTTTTTTTTTTTTTTTTAGCTGGAGTGGTGGCATGTGCTTGTATCCCAGCCACTTGGGAGGCTGACGTGGGAGAATAGTTTGAAATAGTTTGAGCCCAGGAGGTCAAGGCTGCAGTGAGCCACGATGCCGCCACTGCACTCCAGCCTGGGCAACAGAGTGAGATCCTGTCTCAAAACAAACAGACAAAAAAATACAATAAGAAAATTAGCTGAGAGTAGGTGGTGAAGAGCGAATGAGAGAGGTTTGAGGAGAAGCAAGAAATAGTCATTTTGGGGAGTAGGAAAGCTTTCAAGGGCAGCTTTGGTGGATTGCTTGGCATCGTTGAGTGTCCATTTGAGGTTTGTGATCATGAATATATAGTGAAGTCAGTCAGCTTGGTTGTGTGATTTTTCTTCAGCAACATTCAGCTGATTGGGCACAGGCACTAGAAAAGGCAGACAATTGGATTTAACCGGGATTGGAGTTTTGTCAGATGGCAGTGATGGAGAGGACAAATGATTGAGGGTATTTGCAAGGGAGAGATTGTAATTATGGAACACAGCATCAAAATTGGACAAAGTGGGTGCAGAACCGGAGTGGGTAGGTAATGAAAAAGTGGTTGGGATGGTAGGACTTCATGAGGTCAAAAATTGTAGGGAGGGGATACCAGAGAAAGTTAGTTAGAAGTAAGGGAAGTTCTTTGAGAGTATAATTGAAACATAATAAAGAAAGATGAGTCTTTTAAGATAATGCAGCTTTCTTTTCTTTCTTTTTTTTTTTTTTTGTGAGACAGAGTCTCACTCTATGGCCCAGGCTGGAGTGCAGTGGTGCAATCTCAGCTGACTGCAACCTCTGCCTCTAGGGTTCAAGCGATTCTCCTGCCTCAGCCTCCTGAGTAGCTGAGACTACAGATTTACCACCACACCTGGCTAATGTTTGTATTTTCAGCAGAGACAGAGTTTATCAAGCTGGTCTTGAACTCCAGACTTCAAGTGATCCACCTGCCTCAGCCTCCCAAATTGCTGGGATTATGGGTGTGAGCCACCGTGCCCAGTCAAGATAATGCAGTTTTCTGTTTTAGGGATAGTAGCTCTGGGTTTCCTAATAACTAGGAGTAAGAGCTCTAACAAATCACTTATTTGCCTTTCCCAAGAGGCTAATTTTGAGATGGACCCCTTTCTCCATGTATACATCTAGAGCTTAGTTTAGACATTATAGAAGGTAACCACTATTCACAGAAGTTTCTGGGTCTGTTCTCTTAATGACGTCAGTAGTAGCAGTGTTTTGGCCAGTGCACATGTACAGTATGTGTACACCAACTCCCAAACCCTATCTCTGTCATTTGTTGTTGTTGTTTACTTTTTTCTTGAGATGAGGGTTTTACTATGTTGCCCAGGCTGGTCTCAAACTCCTGGGCTCAATCAAACCTCCCACCTCAGCCTCCTGAGAAGCTAGGATTACAGGCTAACACGACCACACCTGGCTTCATTTGTTATTTAAAGTCTTGGTAATGGGCAGAGGTAGAGTGCAGGGTTATATCCAAGGTAAGTTTTTCAGTGATTTCTTCCAGTCTTGATTCAGTTTTGTCAGTGAATAGGTATGGTTTAGTGGAAACGATCTTGGAGTCTTAAAAACCAACGTTGAACTTTTGGCTCTTTATTCACTAGCTGTGAGACCATGAGTGTATTATGTTACCACTTTGAACCTCAATTTCCTTTGATCTGTGAAAAAGATAATAGGGCCTATCTTACAGAGGTATTGTGAAGATGCAATGAGATAATGCATGCAAAGTTGTGGCACATAATATGCTCTGAGTAAATAGTAGCTGCTGGTGGTGTTTTATTGAAATCAGCAAGTAGGAATGTTCACTGTTTTGTCTTCCACGGTGGCTTACATCCTCTAACTGGAAAGTGGCAGCCATATCTACCCCTTCTCCCATGAGTCTCTACTGCTGCATGTGGCCAGTGCCTCTGTCTAGACCAGCTTCTCAGATTTCAGTGTGCCTGAGAATTACCTGGGGCTTTTGTTATCATTTGATTTTGATTTTGTAAGTCTAGGGTGGGGCCTGAGATTCTTCAAATCTAAGGAGTTTCCAGTTGATGCTCATTCTGCTGATGCTGGTCCATGTGTCACATTTGAGTAGCAGAATTCTATTAGAGATTGCTCTGTGGGAATCCCTGCTATTTTAAGCTGAGAGGAAGTGAGGGAAAAAGAGCCTCATTCTTTCAGCTTTTTTTTTTTTTTTTTTTTTAGTCAGATTCATAGACAATACTCATACATCTCATTTCTCTAGCTCGGTGTTGTTTTGGTGAGTCTGTATTGTCTCTACCAGTCCAGGAAGTGATAGGAATATAAACTATGTATAGAGGGTTGCCTCAGATTTCTTATGAAAAATTTTTAGTGCTTGATTTTTCAGGTACATTTTTGAGAAATTGTGCTAGCTCCCCCGGTATACCTACTTCCCCCCACTATCCTCTTATAACCACAGAGAAACTCGTGTAAAACAAGTAGCCTCCCAGCCTGGCCAACATGGTGAAACCCGGTCTCTACTAAAAATACAAAAATAGCTGGGTGTGGTGGCGGGCGCCTGTAATCCCAGCTACTTGGGAGACTGAGACAGGAGAATCACTTGAACCCGGGAGGCAGAGGTTGCAGTGAGCTGAGATCATGCCACTGCACTCCAACCTGGGTCACAGAGTGAGACTCCATCTCAAAAACAAACAAAACAAGTAGCCTCTTGAATTGTTGGAGTCAGAGGCAGAGAATCTAAAATGTGGCTCCAAACCCTTTCTGCCCACAAGACTCACATTACAAAATCCAGCATTTTTGAGATGTAGGAATTCAGGGTGCAAGGTTGGAATTATTGGCAATACTCATATTGCTGTCCCAGATTATCTGATTTTTCTTTCTCAGAAGCAAGCATGTCAGAAACTTCCTCGTGGGCCCTCCTCAGAAGACTTTCTTCAGTGCTCAAATGGACACATTCTCTCCTCTGAACTCACAGACAGTGTGATAAGCTATCAGTCACAAAGTCTGATAACATGTTCTCCTGATAGAATGAAGTGTGTAGGCATCTTAATCTCTGGATGATTCTTTTTAGAGTCTCTTTATAGTGTAGAGTTTTTACACCTTTTTGTCTCTTAATGTGAATTGTACATAGTTACAAAGCATAGCTTTCCTTATTTGACTTTGATAATTGGAAAGAAATTTGTTTCTTCTCCTGCCACTTTGTTCCCCTTTTTTTCTTTCTTGGTTTTTTTTTTTTTCCTTTTTTTTAAAGGTAGAAAAATGTGAACATGCAGGAGCATGAATAAAAAAGATAGCTTCCCTGTGGGTTTTTGGTTTTTGTATGTATTCATAAAGGAAACGTACAGAAGAGTTTTATTTCTAACCAGACTGACCACCTAATTTTAAAGATTATAATCAGAAAAGGAATGGATGCATTTACAATAGGAATTTACAAGCCCTTCCTGTGGTTCCAAAAAAGTTTATGATGGTTCCACCCATGGGAGTTTTAGAGGTAGTTTTCAGAGTTTTTGTGACATATTTAAACTTTTCTTTATTTTGAGGGTTTCTTTTCTTGGTATTTTTCTCCAGCTTTGCTGCAGGGTATGTGTTTTATCTTTATTTTATTTTATTTTAGAGACAGAGTTTTGCTCTCATTGCTCAGGCTGGAGTGCGATGACTGGATCTCGGCTCACCACAACCTCTGCTTCCCGAGTTCAAGCAATTCTCCTGCCTCAGGCTCCTGAGTAGCTGGGATTACAGGCATGCGCCACCATGCCCAGCTAATTTTTGTATTTTTAGTAGAGACAGGGTTTCTTATGTTGGTTAGGCTGATCTCGACCTCAGGTGATCTGCCCGCCTCGACCTCCCAAAGTGTTGGGATTATAGACGTGAGCCACCGTGCCCAACCGTTTATCTTTATCCTATCCCAAACTTGATTAAAAGATAACACTATAAAGTTACAGTATGAAGATCCAGAATTTCATTATATTTATTTTATTGATACTTGGTTGAGAATGAATGACTGCCAGTGGTCATGGTGGCTCATGACTGTAATCCCACACTTTGGGAGGCCCAGGCAGGTGGATAACTTGAGGTCAGGAGTTTGAGACCAACCTGGGCAACATAGTGAAACCCCGTCTCTACCAAAAATACAACAAAATTAGCCAGGCATGGTGGCGTGCGCCTGTGGTCCCAGCTACTCTGGAGTCTGAGGTGGGAGGATCACTTGAGCCTGGGAGGCAGAGGTTGCGATGAGCTGCGATCACGCCGCTGCACTGCAGCCTCTGGGCTACAGATGAGACCTGTCTCAAAAAACAAAAAACAAAAAAAACAAAAAAGAAAACAAAAAAAGAATTGTGGGAGAAGATGGTGGCTGCTGCACAATCCTGGGTTCCCGGGCCCTGCCAATGTCATGTTCTGCCATTACTGCAATAGCCACATCTGTGTGTCACGGCCCACTCCATTGCCAGCTTCATCATGCCCTCATACCTCATGAGGTGGACGTTCCTCAGTCAGTGGGATTGTGGCCACTGTGTTTGGAGCAACAGGATTCCTGGGCCAATGTGTTGTCAACCACCTTGGACGTATGGGGTCACAGGTGATCATTCCCTATCGGTGTGATACGTATGACATCATGCACCTTCGTCCCATGGGTGACCTGGGCTAGCTTCTGTTTCTGGAATGGGACGCGAGAGATAAAGATTCTATCCGACGAGTAGTGGAACACAGCAATGTGGTCATCAATCTTGTTGGATGAGACTGGGAAATCAAAAGCTTTGATTTTGAGGATGTTTTTGTGAAGATCCCCCAAGCAATTGCTCAGGTGTCCAAGGAAGTCGAAGTTGGAAAATTCATTCATGTTTCGCATCTGAATGCGAATATTAAAAGCTCTTCTAGGTATTTGAGAAATAAGGCTGTTGGAGAGAAAGCAGTGAGAGATGCATTTCCAGAAGCCATTATCATAAAGCTGTTGGACATCTTTGGAAGAGAGGATAGATTCCTTAATTATTTTGCAAATATGTGTTGGTTTGGTGCTATACCCCTTGTTTCCTTGGGCTGGAAGGCAGTTAAACAACCGCTATGTCGTAGATGTATCCAAAGGAATTGTTAATGCAGTTAAGGATCCTGATGCCCGTGGGAAAACCTTTGCTTTCATTGGGCCAGATGGGTACCTCCTCTTTGACCTGGTGAAGTACATCTTTGCTGTAGCTCACAGACTCTTCCTCCCGTACCCCTTGCCACGTTTTGCCTATCAGTGGGTAGCAAGAGACTTTGAAATAAGCCCATTTGAGCCCTGGACAACAAGGGATAAAGTGGAGCGGATTCACATCACAGACGTGACATTGTCTCACCTGCCCAGCTTAGAAGACCTTGGTATTCAGGCACCACCACTGGAACTCAAGGCCATCGAGGTGCTGCGGCGTCAGCGCACTTACTGCTGGCTGGCTGCTGAAATTGAGGATGTGAAACCGGCCAAGACCGTCACCATTTAGTGCCTCCTGAGTAACTCTTGGTTTTGGTGTCTTTTGGGTCAGCCCATGTGGTTTGAGCACCTAGCCAGGTGGTCTCTTTAGAGAATCCTGTACACAGTGAATAGGATTTCACCATTGAGGTTTAAAAAAAAAAGAATGAGTGTCGAGTAATAACAGACTCTTCAAAGAGTTCGAAAAAATGAATCTCTTGTCAGTGTAATTTTAATATAGTTATTTAGAGTATAGTATAGGGAGTGTTGGTGACTTAAGATTTAGGGCATGAGCTGTGAAACTAGAGAGGGAAATTGTGTTTAAAAACTGATTATGGACATGTAAAAGAGTCTAAGTAACATTTTATGGGAAGTCAAGATTTATTTTTCTTTTTTATTTAGAAAACGGGCTGTCTCAGTTTCAGTCTTGGAAGTTCTTTCTCCTCTTTTGTACTAGAAATGTGGTAATCTTGCCTTCAGAAGAAGCAGAGAGGTTCTCTGTAGAGAAAAAGAAAAGGTTCGGGTGGGGCCAAGAAGAATACCTGCCCCACCTCTCCAAGTTTAAGTGAGCTGGCAGTTTAAGGTGGGAGGAGAGAAAAGGTTCTTCTGCGGAAAGCATGCGTTCAGTGTGGAAGAAAAGGAAAAGTGATTCTATTTCTACCCTAAGAGGAAGAAACCCCACTACGGCGGGTAACTAAGCCCAGAGCACGCACAGTGGGAATATTAGGTAGGGAGAGTGAAAGTACCTGCATGGGGCCTACCTTGAGTGTGAGACTTGTAGACCTTACTTGGAGATTTTATAAGCAGGAAGGAGCTGTTTCAACATGTCTGAGGGGGAGCCAAAACCCTGAGGCAGCTGAAAGGTGGTTTTTATTTGCTTTTTATTTATTTTTTATTTTTTGTTTTTTCTTTAATAAGTGGGAAGGAGTGGAATATTCCTCAAAACCTATTACCCTTTGAGAATGTTTTTTGCACCTACTATGTGCTAGGTACTATGCAAAAGACTCCATGGCCAAAAATAGATGAGTCAAGACGAGATGTTAGGTCTCCACCAAGGAAGATGTGCAAAGGAGAAGTGGTTTGCTATAGGAATACTTGGAGAAGTAGCCCGCAGAGGTGGTCAGTGCCATGTTACAAACACCAGGCCCCACAGAGAAAGGAGAGCTCACTCGCAGCTGGGGTGTGCTTTTGGATTTGAACATGGAGAAATGGCTCAGGGAAGCAAGGAACATGGGCCTTGACATTGGCATTAGAATATGGGGGATAATTACGTGATTTTCTGAATAAAAACCATTAGGACAGGTGATTTGATAATACTTGTTCACCACTGGGCATAATGAATAAAAACTTGCCTGGCAATAGGAGGCACTTAATAAATGTTTGAACTGAACTGAAATTAGAAAACATGGTCACCAGGAACATGGCAGACCGTTTACGTAGTTATATCATTCCAACACCTCTGAAAGGAGTATTATACCTATTTTTTGGTTGAGGAAACAGAAGCCTGGACAGGCTGGAAACTTTCCCCAGGCCATAATGATATTACTTGTAGATCTAGAATTGACACCCAGGCCGTGCACCTTAGCCTGCCTACGTGGTGAGTAAAGTGTCTGTACCATGCTAGGAGCTCATGATCCACTTGACTCTTTCAGAAGCCCGGCTATGTTGATCTGAACTAGGGCAGTAGTAATAAAAAAGATGAAAAGCCTATTCAGTTTTATATCTTAAGTTTTCTTGTGTTTTAAAATCTTGTAAGATTAAGAATTATTAGTGGTGAAATGACATAAAGAATAGTGGTGTCCAGCAGACATTGTGAGAAAGGAATGTGGGCTCTGAGCAGGTTCTGTGTGTGTGCTTGGCTTCTGCAAGGGGCTCCACAGTTGGGGCAGAGGGAAAGCTTGGCTCACTCACCTGGATCTTAGAGGGCAGAGATTTTTGATTGCTTCATTCATGTTTAAAGAACTCATCTTAAACTAATGTATATCTAGCACTAGAAACTGGTGCTGGTGGTTTATAACTGACCCCACCCATCCCTGTCTTTTGCAATAATCTTTGTGAGTGGTGATTGTGTTTCTAGAAGTAGAATTACAGAGAGAGATTCCCTGAAGGCAAATACAGAGCGAGTGTGCTGTACACTCTAGTTCAGATACTCAGGGCTGGGAACTCCCAGAGAGAGAGAGAGAGAGAGAGAGAGAGAGAGAGAGAGAAACAGAGAGAGAGGGAGAGAGAGAGGGAGGGACGGAGGGACGGAGGGAGGGTGAGAGGGAGGAGAGAGAACAACAGAACAGTCAGCTGGAGAGGAGGGGGGAGGAGACCAGTCTTTTTTTTTTTTTTTAGGATTTTTTAACTCAAGTGATTTTGGGGGGTTTCTCCCCACCTCAAACCCTTGCCCCCCAGTTCTGGCATCTTCTTTCCTACGGTTCGCTGAAGTGCCTTTTTTGCAGTCCAGGATCCACTGACCGCTGAGTTTGAGCAGCCCGATCTGACATGATGTACCTCTGGGTGAGTACAGAGTGCTGTGGGTGAGGGTTTGCACTTGCACATATAAGGAGTGGAAAGCTGCGAGGTTCTGCTGTTGCACAAATGGCCTCCCCATAGAACACAGACTGCCACATCCCCTTCTGTTCCAAGGTGTTAGGTTTTTAAAACCTAGCAGTGATTGTGACATTGTTTATTTCCTCCCCCTATGTTATTTATCTTGTCAGACTTAGGTGCAAGGGCTGAACTCCCTGCACAGTACCATCCCGTGGGCTTGGTAGGTTTAGAGAAGGCAAGTGGGGCAGGTGAAGTGAGCTGGTTGCTTCAGGAACTGCAGTCTTCCTGGTGGCTCAGGATCGACTTGTGTTTTGTTTTGGGGGTACTGACCTTCATAAGCCATGTCTTTAGATATTGAGAGCCAATAGGTGGCATGATTATTAATTAGGAATAAGCTTTCATAAGCTTTTATCTATTAATTATTACTATCCTTCACAGTAGTCTTGTGAAGTAGGTCACTCACTACTGTTATTAAAATTGTATGAGGAAAGTAATTAAGTCACAAAGAGTGACTTGCCTATAGTTAGAAATCAAGTCTATAGCAGTTAGAATAGTAATTAATAATCAGACATTATAAAGCATTTTATGTTTGCCAGGAATGTAGTACCTTCTATTATTGTAATTTACCATTAATTGTAGCATTGTAGTTTGGGATGGAGGAAAACTTTCTAGAACTGGAGAAGTTTGTAAATTATGATATGTGACAACTTTTAGAGGAATGTCAGAGGAAATAATACAGAAACTGCTCCCCGCACCCGCCTGCAATTTTTAGTTGTTAAGACAAGAACATCTTATAGTCCATTGCAAAGATGGCAGTATGTCTCTCGAGCAAACAGCTGTTGTGTGTTGCTAAGGGAGCCTACTAGATGTGATGCCCTTGGCTACTAGCCAGCTTTTTGAAAGTTTCCCTTTGCCCTTTGCCCTTCAGCCCAGATGTCTGGAATTGCAGGAACCTACTTGGCTAACGCAGGCTAAATTTATAAATTATCAGAAAGCAAATTTTAACTGCGTTTGGAGAGATGGAGCTTGTTCACAGAAGACGTATATGTATATATGTGTGTGTTGGGAGGGGCTGCTTTTCGTGCTTCTCCCTTCATGTTTGAATATGACCTTGAAATATTATTTTCTCTCCTCTATTGATTTTTTGTGTAGTCTTTGTAAGAGCTCGGAACTTTTCTGACACACTAATGTGCATTGAGTAGTTTTTGCCTCCCTGTAAACTAGTCATCTGTGCAGGCTCTTTGCAGCCTTGTGGGTGGGATTGATCAGCCCTGTTGACCTGAAGGATGGGCTGTTCTGTCTTTTGATTTGTTTGGAAGAGGAGTTATGAAAGGAAGCAAGTTGAATTAATCTCATTTTCACTCACTTATGTTTGATGAAAGCAGACAGTGACAGTCTCCTTAGTTATTTCCTTTGTGTTTACGTTACAGTTATTTGTATATTTATCTCAATTGATTTTTTACTTATTAACCCTGGAATAGAGCTTCTGGCCTGATGCCAGATTGAGATAAAAATATGCCAAGATTACTATACCCCACAACCCTTGGAGCAGCCAGCTGGGGCTTGGGAATCCCCTGGTCACTTTGATCATGTTCTCCCTAATTTGTTTACCACTTTGTGCTATAAAAAATATTTCCTATGTGTGCCATGACACCTGAAGGCTTGGGTAGCACTGCCTAGAGGGCAAAAAGCAGGTCAGCTCTATCTCTTTTACTATTTGTCTCATCTAGCCCAGTGCCTTTGTTTACTTTATTGAGGACGTGCAGAAGGAGCCATAGCGAATAATGCCCAGATACGTAGAAGGAAACCTGGCTGGTCACGCATTCAGTGGGAGGCACAGAGGAGCTGCTGTGGACTAGGAATAGGAGATGCGCGTTTTAGTGGAGGTTTAGCCAGTACCAAGCCATGTGACTTTCGGCAGTCATTTGACTATTTTGAGACTCAGTTTCCACATCCATAAGATGATTGAACTGAACCTCTTCTTATTCTGAAATTCTGTGAAGTGAATTTTATGTAGCAGTAGATATGCCTGAAAAATGTCCAGTTCCACAAGGATGTTTAGGTCCAGGTGAACAGAGAAAACTGTCAAACATACATGTATCACCTCCATTGCTTGCTTGGTTTGGTATCAGTAATGGGTCAAAGGCACCCTTTCTGAGTATTCTAGAAAAATTACTGGACTGTGTTTAGTTGTCAGTACCTCTGAATTGGTGCAGATAGACATTTTTAGGAGTAAAAGTTATAGGTTATCCAGGCATTTTCATTTGTGTAGTTAGATGCAGCTCATTAATTTGCTCCCGTGTGTCTAGAACTCTGAGATAGAATGCTATCTTGTGCTCTCTCTATACTTCTTTGCCAGATTTTCTCCCCGCTTTCCTGTTGAGTCATCCTCTTTTTTAGTGAATTTGGTAGCGTCAGTTGGCAGCCTGAGGTGGTGAAAAGAATATGGGTTTCAGAAACTTCACTAGGTCTAAATCCCACCTCTGCCATTTCCAAGTGTTTGACTGTTAACAAGTTACTTAACCTCTCTGAGCCTCAGTTTCATTTGTCATATAGGGAAAATAGTAGCACTCAGGATTGTTGTGAAGATTTGAGATAATCTGTGAAACATACTTAACATGGTGAATGGCCCACAATAGATGCTCGGTAAATAACTAGTACAAGCCAACTTTTTGCTTTGAACATTTGCATAGACAGACTACTCACCATCCCAAGTGTTTTCTCTGTCATGTTGAGGGTATCTTTGAATTCGTATAGGGAGAACTTTGATAAACACAAACTAGTTTTTTGTGAAATATTTTCCTGCTTAATTTGTATGTTAAGTACTCATGGCTTGGGAGCCCTTGTTAAGGTTGCCTCCTGATGGAGAAAATCCCCACTGTTTGTTGTAAACTTTTTTTTTTTTGAGGTATACAGTACTATTAAGCATTCATTGTGTCATTTATTCTCCCTCTGTCATCGCCATCATCAAAAACAGGGAGAGGAAGAGACAGACAGACAGATATGATTCCTGTACTGAGGGAACTTACTTGTTTGATTTGTATAATTTATATCCAATAAACATAATTATAGACCACTTACTTAAATTACCAGAAAACAGGATATGTTCTCCCTGTCTGAGCAGTCTTAGCTGGACAGGCACCAGGCACTCTCTTACTCATGCTCTATGTGGATGAACTTCTGGATTTTATTTTGAACTGTTGTTTTATCATAGATCAATTCTGTCTTCTTAATAAATCAGTTCAGCCAACATTTAATGAATGCCCATAATGGGTAGAACCAGCTGTTGCAAATACAAAGATGATTAAAGACATAGTGCGCCCTGGCCGGCCTTAGTGGCTCACACCTGTCATCCCAGCACTTTGGAAGGCCAGGGTGGGCAGATCATGAGGTCAGGAGATCGAGACCATCCTGGCAAACATGGTGAAACCCCATCTCTACTAAAAATACAAAAAATTAGCTGGGCGTGATGGCACACAACTGTAATCCCAGCTACTCAGGAGGCTGAGGCAGGAGAATCCCTTGAACCCAGGAGGCGGAGGTTGCAGTGAGCTGAGATTGCGCCTCTGCTTTCTAGCCTGGGCAATAGAGCGAAGACATAGTGTGCCCTTAACAAATTTATAACACCATGGCAGAGAATCAGTGTACACAGATAATAATGATTTTTGTACGCTATTCAAATCTGTGTACATAGATAATAATGATTTTTGTATGCTATTCAATTAACACATATAAGTGAAGTTCTTTTATGTGCTATTTCATCCTCACAACATTGCTAAGGACTAAGTATCATTATCTCTATTGTACAGGTGAGGAAAGCAACTATGAGAGAGTATGTGACAAGCAGTAAATGGCAGACCTGGAAACTCAATCTCATCTTTTAAAAACTATGGCTCTTATTTCATTTTACACTAGCTTCTTTTGGGAGAATCTGATTTTTTTTTTGTTTTATTTTATTTAATTTTATTTTAAACTATTGAATGATAACATTTAGTCCTCAGTGCACCTGGGTGTTAGCTATTATCTTCATTTTTCAGATGAGAAAGCAGATATTTCAGTAACTTGCAAAGTTATACAGTTTGCAGTTATCAGAGTTAGAATTTGAACTGTGGTTTGTCCATCCCTAAAACTTGCTATACCACAATTAACCTCATTTTGTATTTGTTCAGTGGTGTCCAGTTTATCAGTATAGTAGTCCCCGTTATTCATGGCTTCACTTTCTGTAGCTCTAGTTACCCAAGGTCAATCACTTTCCAAAAGTATTGAGAGAGATAAAGAAACCACATTCATGTAACTTTTATTATAGTATATTCAATTTTGTTATTAGTTATCCTTAATCTCTTACTGTGCCTAATGTACAAATTAAACTTTATCATAGTATATATAGAATTCAGTACTACCCAAAGTTTCAGGCATCTACTTGGGGGTCTTGGAAGATATTTCCCACAGATGAGGGACACTACCTGTACTACCATTCAGCATGGCACAAGGCTAGAGTAGAGAAATGAAAATAAGGAAACCTGAATTCTGCTTTCTTCCCCCTTCGTTACTTGAGACAATTACTTAACTGCATATACCTTGATTTTTCAGGTTATGAAAAAGATGTATTCTTAGGAACATTCATGGAATAATCTTAGAAAAATGCATATCAGCCATTTTAGAAATGAAGTAGCG